ACTTGTGTCAAGATGCTCACTTATTCCTTGCGAGCACTAGTTGTTGACGCAACACCCGCCGGAGGGTGACTTGGCGCCCACCAACCTCGAATCAGCCATGGACGCAAATCCATCACATTGCGATCAGTTATCGCTAGAGGGGTTGTGTTCAAAACTGTCGCTAGATTTGGCGCACATGTGTGGACACTGACCATGCACTTGTATGTGCTGATATGCGGGTGCGTTTTGGCGGACGCCCACCACGACCCTGTGAGCGCATAGACACTAGCTAACTGTCGGAACCAGATGTTCGGAGTGCGTATCGAAATACGCTGGCATACGGATTGATCAAGCGCTCACTGAATACAGTTGGTCAGTGTTCGCATGTTCATCAGACCTTATTAGCAGCAGGTAGTTTCTCGTGTGGTAAATCCATTTGCCAACATGGACATTTAGTCTCTTCGTACTCCCTAGAACTTATCGATGCTCGCCGGCACATTCCGCCCATAAGCGAACAAAATGAGACTCACAAAGACCTTGGAGCAAAACTCCGTGCTAGCCTGAAGAAAGACCGCGAATCCTGGTGGTCTCATTGTGGCGGCTGCTCTTGCTAACCGTCATAAGTTACTCCGTCTGATACGGGAAACGGGCAGCAGGAGACCCGGTGTTAGTGAAGCTATTTGTGACGAGAGTGGACAGCCAATCTACAACTTGTCGAAACGCTTGGAGCGTTAGGCTGTGCACTTTGAAAGGCCATTTAATCTGCCGGAATTGTTATATTTCACATCGGCCAGCAATTGTCTTGCTCCCTATCCCTTTGGACCCACCCTCGCTCAGAAGTCGAATGCGAGATCGGACTGCTGAAGTTGAATAATGCCTCAGGACCAGATACTCTTAATCCAGCTCTCATCAAGTTCGAGATACCTGTTCTTGTGGATGATTTATACGAGTTAATAGTGAAACTGTGAGAGCGGGAAATTGTCCCAACCGACTGGAGCTGTTCCGGTATGGTCCCAATTTTCAAGAAAGGCTCACGTTCGGAATGCAGCAACCATAGAGTAATCGGTATGATCTTCATCGCCTCAAAATTGCTTGCCTCTATCATCCTTCACAGACTGACTAGCACTCATGTAAGCCGGATTCATGAAGAGCAAGCCGGATTTCCTCGAAGTCGGGGCTGCATCGATCTCATCTTTAGTTGCGCCGATTGCTGGATCCCCGTCTTGTATATTGGCGGCCCACCGTTGTGTTCCTCGACACCAAAGGTGCCTTTGGTTCGGTTGATCGAAGTGCCCTTTGGAACTGTTAAGTAAGTGTGTGCCCTTTAATATTACACGAGCGCTTTACGCGTTTAGCTTGAATACAGTGACTTACGGCCAGATGTCACCTCCTTTCAATTTCTCCAGCGGTGTAAAACAAGGATGCCCGCTGTCACCTTTCCTCTTCAACTTCCCTATTGACGAAGTCATGGAGATCACGTTCACAGAACACGAGTTAGAGGGTATGGATGTTCTTCATGGCGAGCGACTTCTTGGCTTAGAGTATACTGACGACATTGCCCTCATCTGTGACAGTTTCCAAACGTGCCAAGAAGTACTAGACAGCTTATCACTGGCTGTCATTCGTTTGGCGTATACTTTTCACCCTCGAAATGCAAAACTTTCATCTAATATTGACAGGGACCGCCTTCTGCGCTGACCCTCGATGGGAATCAGCTAGAAGTCATCCGAAAATTCAACTTCTTGGCAGTTATATCTTTGTCGGTGGAATCGATGACTAGATCACAAAAACTGGAGGCGCTTTTGCTATCCTTTCCTACCTATGTCACCGGAGCGACACCACTCTCCCTGAAGGGTAGCGTGTACAATGCAGCTGTACGTTCGACCCTACTTTTCATTTGTGAAACTTGGCCCATTAGGTCAGCAGAAATAAAGAGGTCAGTTGTGTTCAACCATCACCGCCTTCGCAATTCGGCTCACATCTGATGGGAAGACCATGTAAATAATGAGCGTGTTAGGCGCCTTGTTTATGGAACAAGAAGAGAAAGTGAACCACTCAGCACCGCTATCTCACGCACCAGGCTCCGATGGCTAGGTCACGTGTTACGCATGCCGGCACACCGACTGACGTGACGTGCGCTGTTTGCGCGACCGGGTTGTGGATAGAAGAAGAAGAAGAAGAAGATGGGAGGCCAACCGGCGACATGCTCAAGAGGAATGAAAGCCTTTACTTCGAAGTTGGCCTCGGTCGTAGCGTCTAGACTTTCTGGTTGGGGCCCGAAGGACGATGAGCACGTTAGGCTTGGCACACTTGTTGATATGGCTTGAAGCCGACTTCAGTGGCTTTTGTGCTATGACTTCCTTTGCCTCCCTCCCACACTTCCAACCGCGATCTAATTCCTGAGGCCTAAACTGGCATTTTTGCGGCACAATAGCCGGCTGCTAGCTTTCTGGAACGATGTCCATCCGTTACTGGTGGACCAGTTGGTATGCCTCTGTTGTAGGTTTATTCTTCTTATGTATTTCGTCACAATAGCTGTGATGTTTTCCACCGCTAGCTAAGATGTATAATGATAACGAGGTCTTTTTGCCCAGATTGTCTGATTTGTCGGTGTTCCAAGACACTGGAGAGTTGGGATGAGTTAGCTCGTTAAGCACCTTTCTTAAAGGTGGGGGCATCGAAATCAGCTACTCTGTCCTAGGTCGTTTCCGCTCCTGCGTTCGATCCTCTAGTTCTAGTCCTTGGCCCTTCTGTTCGATACTCCTAACTTTTTAACATATTATATTATTATGCGGCACAGTAGCTGAGGTGTTCCTCACCTCTAGCTAACGTGTATGATGATGACGAACATATTATTAGAGACTCCTTAGCCGTTGTGCCACGCGTTGCATTTCATGTCGTGGGAGCTAAGGATCTCCAATTATATACCAGTGGTCCCGGGTTCGAGGCCTGCTATATCTCCACCTGATGAGATCAAATAAAGTCGAAACGCGTCGTGGTGCGCAGTGTTTTCGGGAGAGCAACATCTAAATTCGATTTTTCTACCATTATGTTTTAGATGGCTTGTTTCTCGCTCATTTCTCATTTGTATTGCTCAGTGCTGTCAATACAACGCGAGTAGAGGCAACCTGGACCGTAATTGCTCAACTAGGATACTTGGAGCTTAACATAAGAAGGCTTTCGCACCGAGGCATATCCTCCACCTAGATGGTTATTTCAGCAGCGATCATATCAGGATTTCGTTGCCATGTCTTTGCGCGACGTAGTCTGAAAATCAGCTGGGCTCTTGCTTTGTTTTTTCCACTAGTGTTTGTTTTCCCCTTGTTTATTTCATCTCGATAAAGTTCGTTGTACTGGAGATCAGGCTAGAGTCTACCGGAACTCCGGACGATCAACGGAACCTTAGTTATCGTCCTGCACAAAGAAGCACTTTTCCATGGGCTACCATTTTTCGCTTTTCACCAAGAAAACAATTTTCTCCACTTTTCTTCATCTCTAGCCTTAGAAACATCTACTTGGTTCGACCCAAAGCTCCTGCATTCTGCTCGTCCGATCAGAACGATAACGCCTGTTCTTTACCGCAGCTACCCGGACTGGATACTCCATTCATCCTTGACCCGAAACGCTTCTTTCTTCAGCGGCAAGGGCTATCCGGTGACTTCATTGTCTACGCCGATGACCCAAAGTGGGACTCACCCCACCCAGTGGTGAGTTATCCTTTCCTCAACTGGATTGCGCTCATCCATTACATGTACGACAGTCACGCATACACAACAAATGCTTATGAACGAACGGGGGATAGCCGCCGTACGTTTACCGCGCAGCACAGACGAGCTACAACGAACCCATCGCTCAGCTGCTGTCGTCGCACTGAATCTGACAAGAGCACAACAATGACTCGCAGCCACAAGTCTTGAATCTCCATCAAGTCGTATTTTTCGTCACTGAATCGTCTAAGTGACTTATTTTTCCCGTCTATCTGCTACTAGGCATTCTTGCAAAACCCCAATCTCTAATCCGAGGCTCGTAGCAGGGAGCATCACGCAGTCCGCCACTCACTCTACGAACATGTTCTAGCAAATCCGATACTCAATCCGATACTACTTACAAATTGTTCAGTAGGTAATTGTATACTAATTAGGAAGGTCAGACATCGAGCTTTAACGGTACTGGGGTTAACGGAAATCAGTAGGCCCACCGCATTGAACATGTCCAAATGGTATACCTTGGGACTCCGTCGCGCAAATGTCCTTTGGCCTTTATCTTTTTTACCCATGGTATCGTATTTTTTCATACATACTTGGTTGACCCGTCTGCTTTACCGGTGTCCGCTCTGGCTGTCTCCACCTGAATGTCCAAATCAAAAAGGAAATCGGTTCAGAATATTCCCCATAATTTGATTTGCTGTGACCCACCGTTCCATTGTGCTTGAACCACATATTCCGAATGCGCATTGAACACTCCTGCACAACGTCCACAGCGTGCGCACTGTTCCACTTTAGAAACACCAACTCCCTTTGTTATATTCATCACAATCTCGGTTGTATTGCCACTAACAACCGTTGATGACAGTGTGCTAGACAAAATTCGGATGAGAGCGCCTCCTGAATTGCTACTGTGCGTTTGCATACATCCTAAGACCCCGCTGCCTTTGGCCGGACCCTCAAGATAGTGACTAAAGCCCGTGAACTGTTGTCAACAAATTGGTCGAACGCGTACAATTCGTCAAACTGTTTACACATGTTCCGTGCATCCACTTATTGCGTAAGATGAATTCCCACCAGGTCTTCCTGCACTGGACGTCCGTAATAATGGGTGGGCCGTCATGCCGGACAAGCTAAACCACTAGTCACCATACACTGGCCCTCGAGCTTACCGGTGCAGTTAACATCATCTGATGGGTTGTCATGCGAACCTTGCACTGTGATAAACCGCATTGCTTTGACTCTTTTTACCGTCATAAAAAGGCATTGATGAAGAACTAAGGAAGTAAATATGATGAAAAGTAGACAAACGAACATGTTACGCAATTTGTGGTGATGTTTGAAGACTCACTCGAGTTTCTGAACGGAGACATTAATCGATGCAACTAGGAGGGCAATTGCTGTTGACTCTCCCACTGCGACACCCTACACACCAATGTTCTTCATGCCGTAAATTCTATCCAGCAGCACGGAGCGAACTAATGCGACTTGAAACCCGCTTTCGACTCTGGTGGCCGCGCTAGCTTGTGGCATTGTCTATCCATGAAGCGCGTGCCGGGTAAATTCCTTTCCATTACGCAGTCTCTCTACCGTGACTCATGAGGATGTACGTGAAACTGTCTCCTGAATTCTCCACGACAAGTGGGGTTCGCCAGTGTTGCCCGATATCGGGCAACACTCCTCAGATTTGTTATCGAACTGATCATGATTAACTTGTTTCTTTCACATTATCGGAGTGGAAGTTCTGCCATGTGACCAACCGACTAACCTGAAGTATGCGGATGACATACCGTATATTACCGAATATATGCCCGTTATAGATAAGCTGACAGCATAACTTTGCAACATCAACATTGTCCAAAGTCGTACGTCCATGTATTAGCCGGCCCCTAAAAGATCAGCAAAAGAGAAACGCGATTGTTTCTCCACGATTTCGATGTCATCACTATTTACTCTTACTTGAGTGAGTTCAAGTGAAACCTCCTCTATTATTGGTCAGTTGTAGTGACCGTAATGTCATGATCGCGGTTATTGGGGGCGTAGGGCCATTAGAACAGATTTTCACTGCACCGGATAGTGTATTAACCAGACCTCAAGTCACATGGAACAGGTAAGACAGCCGACAATATATGGTAAGCTGAGAGGGTACCAGACAGACTGCTCACATATTCGGGGGTCTCATGAATATGAACCACAGTGTTGTGGTGGGTGAGAGCAAAGTTCACGGTCAGGGTGTGGGACAACGTTGTACTTTTAAGGTACCGGATCGCCTGGAATAGCGTAATGTTCAAGGGCTTTGGATTCGCTATTGCCATCCGTCACGAACGTCAGATGTGCCATATACCGAGAATTTTCGACACTAGTAACGTGTCCAGTTATAAGCACTTAAATTCCCTATCTGCACTACCCCTCCGTTGCTAGCGGATGGTACTAATGGGAGATAAGAGCAGAAGTATGCAGTCAATCCCTTGGTGCACTTTGCATGTAACTTTTTTGAAAATCGCGTATGACCTTTGTATAAGGCGACACCTGCCCCTCTACAGAAACAACAAATTGTCCAAGATTCCTCGGCTTATATTCGGTTGTATACGTTAGCTCTTCTTGGGTCTGACCCAGTGGCTATGCAAACAGTACTGGATAGACTAGTGCGTAACGCTGCAAACGCCCAACGATTCCAATGCCGTTAAACAGGTCAACTTTATTTTATCTGCTCTCTCTCTCACTCTCTTCCCAGTCTCCGCAGAGATTGAATGGTAGTCCGTTGTTTTAAAGGATGCCATAAGGTCGATAGTGCTGTCTCTAGTTATATAGAAGACCGGCTTTTGCGTGGAGCTTTCCTAGCTTCCTGCAATCCCGCTAACTTCATCAGAGCGCAACCGTCAAGCGGGTGGGTTTTGATGAGTCCTCTAATCATGACTTGTTTCTCATGTTTGCCACCTTACCCATCGGACAGACTAGGTGTTTGTATCGGTATAACGACAAATGCACTCTGTCGGCTTACACGGAAAATGTGTAGCTGAATTCTGAACATAACAGTGCAGAAGTGACGGATGGCTTTTCGGATTGAGATGTGACCAGCACGTGCTACTACTGAACTGACATTTCACTGCGGTTATATTCTAATTGTGTCTGGCGAACCTTTGTTGTCAAAAGGAACGAATGTTTGCAGGTGATTTGATCGTAGTCTCCATTGTTCCCACACTTCGCCTAATACGCAATTGCACCGCTTTCAAGCAAGCTTTGTAGCCACTTTTGCCGACCGATCGCCTGTTTTTCCCTTGTCAATGCGCTTGCGTTCCATACGTACAACTAACTTTTCTCTGAGTCACTTCTTTAAGCGAGCGACGCAGGTACAATGAGAAGGCTATACTCGCCCACCCTAAAGAGCCTTGAGGTAACTGCTGTTACCGTCTGCACCTGACACAGACACGCCAAGAAGACGTTTGGACACAAATTTTCTAATCTTGTGATGGGATGTTTGGTATACCTTCAGCCCCACATCGATTGCATTGTCCTTCAAACGTTCATGGGAACTCTACGCCAAAATTCCAACCGTTTCAGTATAACCCTTGAGTGTCCATTGGATATTCTATCAGATGCATGGGGAATGTATCCGTAGTTAGGTATCAGCAGTACGCTGGTTCGCAGTACCGACGCTTCACTGCCGCGTAACCACCACCGGTCGCACGTGGGCTAAGGATACTGCGAGGGTCGCCCTGCTCCTACGCAGGCTCGAACCTGCGCCGTCAGATTACAAGACAAGCTTATTACCTTTAAGCTACGGGCCGGTCCATCGAATATGGCAGCTCATTTTTTACTGACAATATTGGGATTGATTATAAATTTCGATGAGACGGACTCCAGAGCACAATGTTGCCCATTCACGTGACTGCTGAACTTCTCAGCTAACAAATCCAAAGATCATGCCCTGGGTACTTTCGATTCTGAAGAGTCAGTTAAACTCAATAGTGAACGCATATGTGCAAAACTGTTGAACTGTGTTCTAGCAATACCATATTTTTCCAACTACAGCTTTTCAGAAATGGCCGAACATCAAATGGCCCGGGCCAAACAGTCTGTGGCTAACCTATGCCATAAAATTCATACGGCCCCTGATACATTCGGACTTATCCAATTCTATACTCTTCCTACTCCTGAGTACTGCGGCATTATACGTATTGATACCGGAAAAGCCTTGAAAAACCCACAAAAATCATTCACTAAGCGTTTACTCAGTAGATCATCCACCTTGAGCTATCAGGAGCGTTGCCAGCAGCTTGGCCCCTTTGGTTGCGACGACTGAAACATGACCAGATGCTTATGCACAATGCCATAAATCAGAAGACACACTGTGATCTGTGCACATTAGAATCGTAGCATAGCTTCACTCGGCGGTTTCGCAACAAGACTTGTAAACTAATTCTGCCAATAACCAGGTTTCGTATTCGATCCAACTTCGTCGTCGTCAAACACGCTGTCATTTGGAATAGCCTACCAGCCACTATCATGTCTTGTGCAAATGCAAGAACATTTTGCATTAAACTTGGCAATTTTCTGGACCATAACTCGATAACGGTCATGTTTTCATCAGGAAAATCGCCGAATGAATTCTTTTAAGATCGACTTAAAAATAGCCAAACTGTCACACAAAACCCAACGCCAACAACTGCCGTGTATCTCAGAATGTGTTAACCACACGGACACTAATGAATACATATCTCACTCTTGCATGCCCATGATCATAACTGTATTAATGATCTCTCCCTATTAAAGGAACAGCCTCTAGCACACTCGAAAAATACACGTAACATATTTTTTTATTTTCGTCCCCTTCCTCTATCCTTAGCTTTTCAGCACGCATCTTTGATGGTCTGACCATCGTCGGTAAACGAAACTAAAACACTGACACTTGGTTCATATGTCCTCATCAGATAAGTGTGACCACTCTCATCTGCTCTTTTCGAATTTGGCATTTACGAATTACAGAATCACACTCATGTGCGCTAACATCGGAGGTGTCAGTCTATCAGCCATTCAAAGCTTAATCGAAATCAGGCCACACTTTGCCTTGTGTCCGGATGCTTGCTTCGTTACTCCATCGGTATGATCCTCCGACGTTTTTTATAGGTCAATTATGGTTGTAGTGGATAAGGAGAATAGGTGGGTATCTGTGTTAGGCTAGGGACACGGCACTAATTTATCAGCTCAGTCGGTCCGTAGACACTGGTCATTTCACATACTTCGTTGTCCGTAGTACTTACAGGTTGCATCAATCGGTTCGCACGGGGAAGTGCCTCCTGTCAAATCTGTCTGGACACCTTGTCCTTGCCTCAGCAGTCCACCGACCTAGGCGCCAGTACTTTTCATTTTGAAAGTGAATCAAACGTGTTGAAGCAGCTAAAGATCATGGCTTTTTATTGCTTACCCCTTACACTTTATGCTCAATCTATGTGGGGGCACTTCTACCCCTAGTTTCAGTCAGTTCACCAACCACAAGCGATTGTCGCCATTCTGCCTACGTCGTGGCACATGGTCTGTCTCATCTGTCTACTCACCCCACCAGATTCCATTGACTGACTAAATCTCACCCTCTTTTTAACGTCAGAATGTCTTTTGTCACTGTGGCTCTCTTTTAAATTCATACGGTGCCCCATGAGTACCGTTTCCTTTTTGCTTGCAAGTTCCAACGAATGATACGTTGACTGTGGGCCTAGGTTCCCTCAACCTCTTCCGGACTTCTTCCATTGAGCTCTGGATAAATAGATAAATTAATTGACACTTATTTTCGTTAGTAACAAGACACGCTGCTATATGGCATTATCAGCGATTGACAGAGGGACAGTGACGTCAATAAAAGTTGGAGTGTAATATTTTCAAAAAAATACTTTAGAGGACCAGTCTGGTGAGCTGTGGCACAAATGTCAAATGGTTACTGTGAAATGAAAACATCCCCTGTTGGACAGTCACATGAACATAGCAAAGACACATAAGTAGATAGTTTATTTTTCGACTTTACGAGACATGGCACTTGTTGTTGGTCCGATCAAATCATACAAAGGGACCGCGAAACTCGATTGTTCATATGATCTTAACTTGCCGGGCCCGCGTTATTTAACTGGATCAGTCAGTCCCACGAAAAGCACTTTATCAATCGCATATTGGTTGGTAGTTCGCGAAGATATTGCGCAATAGCAGGTTTGTCTCACTGACATGCTGGCATATACTTGACTTGCGTTGTAGTCTGTCATTGCAGCGATGTGAGAGGTAGCTAACTAGAGAGCGGAGCGTTCATGTAAC